CGACGTCGTAATGCCGTGGCACCCTGGCTCACATCACCCCAACTACAGGGGTGTTTCGCAGGATCAGAGGGCCCTTTTCAAGGACCCTTATGCTAGAAGCCCTCTTAGGTTTAAGTGTATGTAAACATATACACTAAAATACACATGAAAAGGCACTCCTATTTTGAGAAGCTCCTAGATGGAAGTCACCGGGTGGGCACATTTGCAGATGTCGGCTTGCCATGATCTGCTGAACATGATATTGTGTGTGTGTGTGTGGAGGGGGATTCCTTTTTCATTCCAAGCTATGGCTCGCAACGTCGCCGCAGGTCTCTAGCTCCATCGTCTGGAACGAGATGTTTCTGAGCTTCGCCTTTGCATTTTCACTTGTCAGGTCAATCCACTCAACATCCTTGAACTCCGTCCATGTTCTCGTTTGCTCAAGTTGAAACTCTTCTTCTCCGGAGTCCATTCGATGCCCTCCATCCATGAGATCTCTCTTCCGTTTGCTTGAGAACTCTTCATATCTCCTTGTATGAAACCCTAACCCTAAACCCTAAACCCTAAACCCTAAATCTCACAAGAAGTGTCCCGATAGAAACGCCCCAAGCAGCAGGCATGCAATTTCTCAAGAACCCGCAAGGGAGACCAAAAAAACTGAGAACCACCCCCCCCCCCCACCCCCCCGCCCCCGCCCCCCCTCCCCAAGATCTCCTCTTCACCCTAAACCCTAAACCCTAAACCCTAAACCCTAAACCCTAAACCCTAAACCCTAAACCCTAAACCCTAGACCCTAAACCCTAAAACCCTAAACCCTAAACCCTAAACCCTAAAACCCTAAACCCTAAACCCTAAACCCTAAACCCTAAACCCTAAACCCTAAACCCTAAACCCTAAACCCTAAACCCTACCCCCCCCCCATCTCCTCCTCACCTGGTTGCTTCCACTCACTTCAATACACTTGGTCATCATGCGGTGCGGATGCTCCATGGCTGTGAGCTTCTCAAACTTCCTGATGTCATCAACATGCTTCACCTCGTCAGAACAATAGTAATAGCAGTGGTATTCAGAACATGACAGTCGCAGAACTGATAGTGGTATGAAAACAAGTATTAGCAGTAGTAGCCGCACCTCATCAGATCCATGAAGCAATTTCGCGTGTGCGAGGCCGCACTTTTCACGGATGCAGCAATGAAGCTTCTCGACCTTGTCGTCCATCTCAAACTGTTGTGCAGCAATTGGTTCGCCAGCCAAGTTAACAAACGACACCTCAAGTGAAGTATCCTTGTGATCAATGATGACGGTGATTACCTTAGTTGCTGAGTCCGTAAGCCCCAGCAAAGTGTACACTTTCAGTTCTACAGGGGGTTATGGTAGCCCAAAACATGTAAAGTGTACTCACTCAGCCAATAAGTTACCCTCGTACAATGACTTCCAGGCTTGCGAGGAAATTGATCCTCCAAGTGCACATCAAGATGCGTGAGCGTGAACTTGCGTCCGTCTTTCATCTGCAAACGCACGGTGGCGTCTGCCCAAATCTCCATTGTGCCAAAGAACAGCATGTATGGCTCGTTTGGGCCCTTTCCTTGCTTCCAAGGGGGAATATCCCGACTTGGCTTCATGCCTGTGAACACCGCGATGTGCTCTTCATACGACTTGTAGCCTCGCAACTCTTCGAGACCTGACCCACGAGGAACTCGACCATCAAAGTCGTTCAGCACTGTGTGTGTCTTCTCCATGGCCCAGATGGGAAGAGTCACACGCGGAACACGTTGAAGAACATTAAAGCTCATTATTTCACCTTACGACAGTCTGTCTTCATCAGGCAACATTGCCGGCATGCGTGTTCATGCTGTATGTTCATGATAGCAGCAATCTCAAACATACTCGTCAATCTGTTTGGCTTTCTTTGCCGAGGGCTGCATCCATCAAACATCTGGACCAGAAGACATGAAGCTGGGCAGCGCGATTCCGTGTCCACAAATCCCAGCGATTTCTACAACGTCGTTCAGCTTCTAACATTTGGACATACCTCCCCAAAGTGACATACAAACCCTACACCCCAAAAAGCCCTAAACCCTAAAAACCCTAAACCCTAAACCCTAAACCCTAAAGCCCTCCACCCACCCACCCACCCTCCCGACTAACAGCCTGCGCAGCGGCAGCAGCCTCCTGTCATGCTCGACTTGGAGTTTAAGGTTAGGGTTTAGGGTTTAGGGTTTAGGGTTTGGGGTTTAGGGTTTAGGGTTTAGGGTTTGGGGTTTGGGGTTTAGGGTCTAGGGTTTAGGATCGAGGGCTTCGGCTTAGGGTTTAGTTGGGGGCTTTGGGGGCTTTGGGGGCTTTGGGGGCTTTGGGGGCTTTGGGGGCTTTGGGGGCTTTGGGGGCTTTGGGGGCTTTGGGGGCTTTGGGGGTTCAGGGTTTGGGTGCCTGGGTGGTGCTCAAGGTGTGCTGTTCAGGCTATGGGTCTGGGAGGTTGAGGTTTGGGCTTCAGGGTCACCGCAGAGGATTCTTGCAAAGTCTTAGGGCTAAGGACCCAGATCTTCCTTTGCGGTGTTCAGGTGTCAGGGTGTTGGGGTGCTGGGGTGCTAGGGCCCTGGAATTGGCGAGGGTTCAGAAGTTCAGGGTGTGCGAGGCACCGGGATGCCTGAAAGTCTTGGGTTGAGGGTTAAAGCTTAGGGCCTATGCAGAGGCCCTAAACCCTAAACCCTAAACCCTAAACCCACCCAACCGCAAAAACCCCTCCCCCACTGCCCTTCACCAAGGAACCTACTGAGAGAACGAGGAGCCACAAGAAGCTGAAGGGGCATTACCCTTGCCCAACTCATGGGTGTTGATGGGGATGGGAACTCTCAGCCGAAAACCTCACCCCTAAACCCCAAACCCGAAACCCTAAACCCTAACCCCTAAACCCTAAACTCCTACACCTCTAAACCCTAAACCCGAAACTCCTACACCTCTAACCCCCTGAACCTCAAAGTGCCTCCAACAGTTCGACCGGCGGCCGCGTCGGGGGCGCCAGCCGCGCGGCAGCGCGCGCCTGGGAGGCGCGCTCGCGCAGGTTGATTGGTTCGGGGTTTGGGGTTTAGGGGTTTAGGGTTCGGGGTTTGGGGTTTAGGGGTTTAGGGTTCAGGGTTTAGGGTTTAGGGTTTTGGGTTTAGGGTTTAGGGTTTAGGGTTTAGGGTTTAGGGTTTAGGGTTCGGGGTTTGGGGTTTAGGGTTCAGGGTTTAGCGTTTAGGGCGGGGGGTTTGGGGATTCTCGGACACCCCCCCCCCCCCCACCCCTGCCCCAAACACCAAACCCCAAACCCTGAGCTGGAGGCTCTTAAATTCAGGGTTCCAGGGCTTAGGGCACGCAGAGGGCGTCCACGGGTTTTTTCCGCTTGACTTCCTGGTTCTTAGAAGGGAATGTCGGCCTTCAGGGTCTCTAGAAAGGTTTAAGGGAAATCTCGGAAGGAATACGGTGCCGGCCCTGCGAAGAACTAGCCAGTCAGCCTCACCAACGCCTACCGGGCCTCATCAGCTCTGTACCTGTGATACTTGGGTTTAGGGCTTAGGGCTTAGGGTTTAGGGCTTAGGGTTTAGGGCTTATAGGGTTCCAAGAGAGTGCTGCGCAGTTCGTTTCCGCCGTTGCTTCGCTTTCAGGCACCAGCAGTGCCCAATTTGTGAGAATCTTTCCCGCCACTCCACAGCTGGGCCTGCTCGACCTGCTGGATGCTTGCGTCGGGCTGCAGATGGGGGATGGCCCAGCAGCTCGGCATGTGTGGTGTTGTGTGTGTGTGTGAGGGCTTTGGGGGGAACCCTCCCCGGTACACTTCCTCGCTGCGGCTTTCCTCGCAAACAAGGGGCTGTCGCTGATGTTGAAAGTCCAAGAGCCATCATCGCAGCTAGTTGCAACCTGACTCAGAAACTCAAACCCCCCAAACCCTAAACCCCAAACCCTAAACCCCAAACACTAAACCCCAAACCCTAAACCCTAAACCCCAAACCCTGAACCCTAAACCCCAAACCCTAAACCCTAAACCCCAAACCCTAAACCCTAAACCCCAAACCCTAAACCCTAAACCCTAAACCCCAAACCCCACACCGATCGAAGCTCCGCTGCGGCCTCCTCCGGATCTGCAGGCACAGCGAAGTACCAGCCCTTCAGCTCCTCTCAGCTTCGTCGGATTTGGGGTTTGGGGTTTGGGGTTTGGGGTTTAGGGTTTAGGGTTTAGGGTTTAGGGTTTAGGGTTTAGGGTTTAGGGTTTAGGGTTTAGGGTTTAGGGTTTAGGGTTTAGGGTTTAGGGTTTAGGGTTTAGGGTTTAGGGGTTAGGGTTTAGGGTTTAGGGTTAGAGCAAACTCCAAAGTGTGGCAAGGCCCTGGTTCAGGATTTCAGTGTTTTTCAGGGTTTCAGGGTTTCAGATTTCAGGGTTTAGGGTTTAGGGTTTATTCAGGTACAAGAATGGAACCACAATCCCAAAAACCCGAGCCCGAGCCCCTAGGCCTCTAAAGCCCTAAGCCCTAACCCCCCAAGCCCCAAAAACTTCTGATGACTGGCCTAAACCCTACACCCAAAACCATAAACCCCAAAACCCCAAAACCCCAAACCCTAAACCCGAATCCCTGAACCCTAAACCCCAAAATCCCAAAACCCCAAAACCCCAAAACCCCAAAACCCCAAAACCCCAAAACCCCAAAACCCCAAAACCCCAAAACCCCAAAACCCCAAACCCTAAACCCTAAACCCTAAACCCCAAACCCTAAACCCTAAACCCTAAACCCTAAACCCTAAACTAAACCCAGAGCCTTTCAATCGCCGCGCTCTGCATGCCAAGTCCGGAGATCCGGAGTCGGAAAATCCGTGCACTCAAGGCTTAATTGCTCAAGGGCTTGCGGTTCAGGGTTTAGGGTTTAGGGTTTAGGGTTTAGGGTTTAGGGTTTGGGGTTTGGGGTTTAGGGTTCAGGGTTTCGGGTTTAGGGTTGAGGACTTAGCCTCTGAGAAACTGAGCTGGAAGGGGTTCGGGACTTGGCTACCAGGACCCATCAGCGGCCGCCACCGAAAACGAAGGCACCGCCTGGTAAAGGGTTCGGGGTTCAAGAGTGTAAGGGGTTTAGGGTTTAGGGTTTAGGGTTTAGGGTTTAAGGTTTAGGGTTTAGGGTTTAGGGTTTAGGGTTTGGGGTTTGGGGTTTGGGGTTTGGGGGTTAGGGTTTCAAGCTCTAAGGGTTTGTTGGAAAGTTCATGGAAAATTCGGAATAGCCAGTTACAACTACGTTGCCCTGGGTTTAGGGTTTAGGGTTTAGGGTTTAGGTTTAGGGTTTAGGGTTTAGGGTTTAGGGTTTAGGGTTTAGGGTTTAGGGTTTAGGGTTTAGGGTTTAGGGTTTAGGGTTTAGGGTTTAGGGTTTAGGGTTTAGGGTTTAGGGTTTAGGGTTTCGGGTTTAGGGTTTAGGGCGATTATGACCTCAGTCATGCCTACCCATGACCCTCCAACTAAACCGTAAACCCTAAACGCAGAACAACCAAAACGAAGGGTGAGTGGAAGAAGGCTAGGGCTCAGGGTTCAGGAATTGAGGGTGCGCGGCCGCGCGTTGTGCCTGGGAAGTGCATCCTTTTCTTGCGGATCAACTCCAGTGTAGACCAGCATATTCTTTGTCAGGTTGAACCCTCCCTTCACGTGCGTCTTGCGCGCACACAACCCTAAACCCTAAACCCTAAACCCTAAACCCCAAAACCTAAACCCGAAACCCTAAACCGTGAGCTGGAAGGCAGTCTTTGTGCGCTGTTGCCATGGATTGCCATCCGGCGTTACTAATGCTGCTAGAAAATTCTCGCTCTCGCGCAAAGCCACCATCCAGCCCTGTCTATGTGCGTTAGGGTTTAGGGTTTAGGGTTTAGGGTTTTAAATACCCACCCAACATAGCTCTTCTAAGCTTCTCTGCGCTAGACAGGCCCAAAATGGTCCCAAAATGTAGGGCCCTGACCATTTAGGTTCCAACACATGGCTAACCGATGCCTGAACATAGGACAACTATTGTTACAGCGAGTTTAACTCCGATTGCGGCGCTACTCTAACAACAAAATCTTCAAACCGTATGAACCCCTGTAAACCCCAACCCTAACCCAACAAACGTTATTGACCCCCCTAAACCCGATGAACCCTCAACACTATACACCCACCAACCCTCATCCCAAAACCCTGCATTGAAACCCTAAAGCCCCAACCCTACAACATGATTCATCCCCTTGACCCCTAAACCCTAAAGCCCTAAACCATAAACCCTTCAACCCCTCAAACCCTTAGTCCCCTTACTCCCCTAAACCCTTACTCCCCTAAACCCTTACTCCCCTAAACCCTTACTCCCCTAAACCCTTACTCCCCTAAACCCTTACTCCCCTAAACCCTAAACCCTAAACCCTAAACCCTAAACCCTAAACCCTAAACCCTAAACCCTAAACCCTAAACCCTATGCGGAGCTGCAGTTGGTATTGTAGAAAGGAGTTGGTATTGGAAGTTGAAGGGTCAATGCACCCGGTAATCTTTTGGCTCAAGCCATGACCAAAACGGTCGAAGGTTTCGTAAAAAGTGTGCCCTTGGTTTGGGGTCTTGTTGTTTGGTTGTTGGTTGTTCCAGGGGAATCAAGGGTTTCTGTTGGGGTTGACTGTTTTGTTCCCTGTCCTCCTTCGGTTGCCCCCCGTAGGTTATGAGCCCAAATTAGCCTTCCTGCGGAATTGGTAAAGATTTTTCGTTTGTTTAACGCCATGGACATGATGCGGCGTCGCTCTGAGCCTGGACTGTCGCCAACGGCCAATGAAGCCGAAGGAAATCGTGGTGATGGGGGTGAAGATCGACAACAAATGGTACAAGCGCTGACAGATGGTAGGGAGGTTGCAATGATACAACCAACGCCTCAGGTGGAAAACGAAGTGGTTCCGGTTCAAGCAGCAAATCCTTTCTGGAGCGAGCGGGCTCAAGAAGAAATGAGACTTAGGCAATCAAGGCCGGCAAGTCTTCCCGCGAGCGGAGGGGATAGAAGCGGTGAAGGTACGAGGAGGCCGCCTTCGCTGCAAGATCTTTTGGGTCAGGAACCTGCACCTGTTGAGAGACCATCGTCAGGCTTAATGGGCCAAATGGAGCGAGGTACTATTGGTGGAGTGCAAGCCGACGAAGAACTCATTCCTGATGTTAGTGGTGAAGAGCAAACTGAAGATATGGCGGTGGTAAAGCGTGTGCTGAAAGAGTTGCTTGTGCAAACAAAGGAGCTGGGGAACAGGTTGCATCGGGTGGAGGAGAAAAGCTATACCTCTGCTGCATCTGGGTCAGCTTCAAGGGCACGGAGCTCTGGAGTGGTGGACGCAAACACGGCATATCCTCTAGGAATGACTCCAGAGAAGCAGTACCTGCCAGGACAAGTTTTCTACACGGATGGTATGGGTGGTTTTTGGACTGTGTTGCCTGATGGGACATGGCTGCCTATTGAGGGCTACGACCTGCCAAAGGGTTGTGATCTTCAATCCTTGCCTGGGTCCAGGAAGGGGGATGTTCAAGTGGAGGATGAAAAAGAAGTGCCAATGATGCATGTAGCTGAAGGGAAGAAACCCTCCAGATTGCCTCCATTGAATTACCCCACGGGAGGTCCTGCAAGTGGTGGATATGCAAGTGGACCACCTGGTTTAACACATGTTCCGATTACTTCCGTGCCGTCAGGTGTTGATGGTTCTGCCGCACCTGTGGGGAACCAGCCCGGTTTTGTTTCAGCTCGGGAAACTGCAACGCAAGAGAACTCAGCAGGATCGGGTGGATATACAATGGTGGATGATGTTCCGTATCGGTGGAAAATGGTCGCTGGGAAGTTGGAATTAGAAAAGGTTCCGCTCACAGCTGTTACGCCCGGTATAGGACATGGACTACCTCAAGGGCCTGGTGGTAGGGTCAGTTTACCTCCTGGAGCAGTGGTGCCACGTGGTATGCCAATCACTGGTGATAGTTCTGGAACCGAACGTCCGGAGGCTCTCGGGAAGCATGTGATGAGCCTTCCAACTTTGGCAGACTACACACCAAGCAATCCGACGGCACTGGGTGATTGGATCGCAATGATCGAACCAATGTTGTCTTCACTGACAGATACAGGAAGAGTGTGGTGGCAATGCGTCTACTCAAAGGCATATCAAGCGTATGCCAAATGGTTGAGTGTTTCTCCGCTGGAAAGGTTGGGCATCAAGGCTGAGCTGGAAGGGCTCAAAGTGGTTCAAACTGTGCATGTTTTGTTGGAGCAGAGAGCGGTGTCTTTGCTGCTACAGGCGATCCCGGAGAGATTGAAGACCGAGATCGTTTCCACTCGAATGTTGGGGTCAGTGATGATATTTACAAATTGCTGACGGTCTACCAACCAGGTGGAGCAAATGAGCGCAGCACAATGTTGAACTTCTTGGTGCAACCATCTCCAGCAACCTCGATCTCAGAGGCCATTAAGGGAGTGCGTCAATGGGCGCAATGGCGTTCCCGATTAAGGGAGCTGAGAGCGGCCGAGCCGGACGCTACCTTGCTTATCAAGGGATTGGATGGTTTATCATCCGCGTTGCTGGCGAAACACCCTACGGTTCATTTCAGAGTGGCATCCTTTCGGGAGAAATTGGGGGTGGACTACTCGCCGACCTCTGAAACTGCGACAAAACTAGCTGAAATGTTACAGGCAGAGTTTGAACTGCTATTGCATAGTGCTGGTGAACAAGAGGTGAAGCAGGACTCGGACGCCAAGAAAAGGGCCAGGTTAAACAAGGCCCAAAAGGGAACTGGTGACGAGACGGAGGAGGGTGACAAAGGCAAAGGGAAAGGAAAAAGGTACAGCGGAGATGGTGAACGTCCTTTCTGTTGGATATATGGGAAGACCGATGCAGGTTGCAAGTTCGGATCCCGCTGCAAATTTCGCCATGACAAAGACTCCCTTGAGCGAGGAAGATGTTTTGAGTGTGGGGCCGTTGGCCATCTGCAGCCGCAATGTCCATATAAGGATGGTGTAAGTTCCAATGCGGACTCAAATCCTGAAAGGAATAGATCTAAAGGGAATTCTCCCAAAGGGGGAAAGGGCGGCAAAGGTGCAAAATGGGGAAATGCCAAAAAGGCAGAAGTGGCTGAAGTGGGAGATGAGACGGCTAATGCGGGATTGGATAAAGGTTCTGCAAGTCCCTCATCACCATCAACACCCAATCAGGTTCTTGTTGAAGCGTTAGAAGTGCTGAAATCTATGAAGCTGTCATCAGAACAGTCGGCATCAAGCGGGGATCCCAGTATTCGAATGTTATGTGGCTCTGGGCTGCTTCAGCAGGAAGGGAGAGTGGCATTGGTGGATACAGCTGCTACGCATCTTGCGCGGACGCTTTTTCCATGGGAATGTTTACCAGACACTACTGTTATGGTGCAAAGCGCGCTTGGTGGTGTGACAATGAGGATTACAGAGAAAGGGACGTTGATTAGGGAAGACAATGGGCCCCTGATTATCCCTCTCTGGTTGATTCTGGAGTTTGGGGCGAACCTCACTGTGATCAATGGAACGTGTCACATGGGTGCAAAATCTTCGCTGGACCAGCTCTTGTGGTTTGAACATGGCTGTTTGGTTATGGATTACAAAACAGCTGAGAAAATGGTTTTGCATGCTGAAAGGCAGCGTGCGTCGTTGTCCCATTCTCAATGGAGGAATGGAAGGGCGGACTGTGGAGTCGGTTCGTCGGATGCCACGTTGTTGCCGAAGCAGGGAGAAGGCCGAGGAGTATGCGTTCTACATGTGGCCAGGGTTTCTGACACCAATGAGTGTTCGGGAATGGGCATGTTGGACTCGGGAGCATCACATCCTCTCAGATCACTTCGTCCTGGTGAACAGCTTCCGCAGCAAAAGGTGTTGGTGTCTTTAGCTGTTGGATCTCGGGAGATGTGTATTACCCCAGGTGGGACCCTGGTAACTCCTGAAATGGTAGATCCACTAGTGCCAATTGGCAAAGCGAGCGCCTTGGTTGGTCTCAGAGTTCAGTGGCGTGGTGGCAAGTGCACAGCCTCACATCCTGTTCTGGGGGAACTTCGCGTTC